TTCACAAAGCACATACCTTGATAAGATTTTGAAGAAGTTCAAAATGGATCAGTCCAAGAAAGGGTTCTTGCCTGTACTGCAAGGTGTGAGATTGAGCTCGGCTCAATGCCCGACCACGGCAAAAGATAAAGAAGAGATGAGCGTCATCCCCTATGCCTCAGCCATAGGATCTAATATGTATGCCATGCTGTGTACCAGACCTGATGTAAACCTTGCCGTAAGTTTGGTAGGAAGGTACCAAAGTAATCCCGGCAAGGAACACTGGACAGCGATCAAGAATATCCTGAAGTACCTGAAAAGGACAAAGGACATGTTTCTCGTTTATGGAGGTGACGAAGAGCTTGTCGTAAAGGGTTACGTCGACGCTAGCTTCGACACAGATCTGGATGACTCTAAGTCACAAACCGGATACGTGTATATGTTGAATGGTGGAGCAGTAAGCTGGTGCAGCTGCAAGCAGAGCGTCGTGGCGGGATCTACATGTGAAGCGGAGTACATGGCAGCCTCGGAGGCAGCGCATGAAGCAATTTGGGTGAAGGAGTTCATCACCGACCTAGGAGTCATAACCAATGCGTCGGGGCCGATCAAACTCTTCTGTGACAACACTGGAGCTATTACCCTTGCCAAGGAGCCCAGGTTTCACAAGAAGACCAGGCACATCAAGCGTCACTTCAACTCCATTTGTGAAAATGTTCAAGCTGGAGACATAGATATTTGCAAAGTACATACGGATCTGAATGTCGTAGATCCATTGACTAAACCTCTCTCGCGAGCAAAACATGATCAACACCAGAACTCTATGGGTGTTCGATTCATCACAATGTAACTAGATTATTGACTCTAGTGCAAGTGAGAGACTGTTGGAAATATGCCCTAGAGGCAATAATAAAAGGATTATTATTATATTTCCTTGTTCATGATAATTGTCTTTTATTCATGCTATAATTGTATTATCCGGAAATCGTAATACACGTGTGAATACATAGACCACAATACGTCCCTAGTAAGCCTCTAGTTGACTAGCTCGTTGGTCAATAGATAGTCATGGTTTCCTGACTATGGACATTAGATGTCGTTGACAACGGGATCACATCATTAGGAGAATGATGTGATGGACAAGACCCATTCCTAAGCATAGCACAAGATCGTGTAGTTCGTTTTGCTAGAGCTTTTCCAATGTCAAGTATCTCTTCCTTAGACCATGAGATCATGTAACTCCCGGATACCGTAGGAGTGCTTTGGGTGTACCAAATGTCACAACGTAACTGGGTGACTATAAAGGTGCACTACAGGCATCTCCGAAAGTGTCTGTTGGGTTGACACAGATCGAGATTGGGATTTGTCACTCCGTATGACGGAGAGGTATCACTGGGCCCACTCGATAGTGCATCATCATAATGAGCTCAAAGTGACCAAGTGTCTGGTCACGGGATCATGCATTACGGTACGAGTAAAGTGACTTGCCGGTAACGAGACTGAACGATGTATTGGGATATCGACGGTCGAGTCTCGGGCAAGTAACATACCGTCTGACAAAGGGAATAGTATACGGGGTTGCTTGAACCCTCGACATCGTGGTTCATCCGATGAGATCATCGAGGAGTATGTGGGAGCCAACATGGGTATCCAGATCCCGCTGTTGGTTATTGACCGGAGAGCCGTCTTGGTCATGTCTGCATGTCTCCCGAACCCGTAGGGTCTACACACTTAAGGTTCGGTGACGCTAGGGTTGTATGAATATGAGTATGCAGCAAACCGAATGTTGTTCGGAGTCCCGGATGAGATCCCGGACGTCGCGAGGAGTTCCGGAATGGTCCGGAGGTAAAGAAAACTATATAGGAAGTGCTGTTTCGGTCATCGGGAAAGTTTCGGGGTCACCCGGTATTGTACCGGGACCACCGGAAGGGTCCCGGGGGTCCACCGGGTGGGGCCACCTATCCCGGAGGGCCCTGTGGGCTGAAGTGGGAGGGGAACCAGCCCCTAGTGGGCTGGTACGCCCCCCTTGGGCCCCCCTGCGCCTAGGGTTGGAAACCCTAGGTGGGGAGGCGCACCACTTGCCTTGGGGGGCACTCCACCCCCCCTGGCCGCCGCCCCCTTGGGAGATTGCATCTCCCAGGGCCGGCGCCCCCTCCCTGGGGGCCTATATAAAGGAGGGCAGGGGGGAGGGCAGCCGCACCCAAGTCTTGGCGCCTCCCTCCCCCTGCTACACCTCATCCTCCTCCCGCAGCTGCTTGGCGAAGCCCTGCCGGAGTTCTGCTGCATCCACCAGCACGCCGTCGTGCTGCTGGATCATCATCAACCTCTCCTTCCCCCTTGCTGGATCAAGACGGAGGAGACGTCACGCTGACCGTACGTGTGTTGAACGCAGAGGTGTCGTCCGTTCGGCGCTAGGATCTCCGGTGATAGGATCACGACGAGAACGACTACCTCAACCCCGTTCTTTTGAACGCTTCCGCTCGCGATCTACAAAGTGGTATGTAGATGCATCTCTCCTTTCACTCGTTGCTTAGATGAACTCATAGATGGATCTTGGTGAAACCGTAGGAAATTTTTATTTTCTGCAACGTTCCCCAAGAGAAGATACTGACCGCCCCATGTCGCTTCATGAGCGATACGGGCACAAAAAAATGCTTTTTTGAATGTTTAGAGATGACACATGCAAATTTACTTGAAAAGCAGAGTAATACCACATATAGGTAGATATAGTTGACTCATCTGGAACAACTTGGGTTTAAGGATTTGGATGCACAAATAGTACTCGCTTAATACAGGTGAAGACTAGTAATAAATTGAGAAACGACTAGTCAAAGAGTGAAAACGGTCATAAACATCCATTGAGAATAATTAACATTGAATACGAGCATGAGTAGGATATCAAACACCATAAACATAAATATCGTGGAGGCTATGTTGGTTTTGAATCAACTACATCCGTGAACATGTGCCAAGTCAAGCCACTCAAATCATTCAGAGGGAGATACCATACTATCATAGTACATCATAACCATTTCAATGCATGTTAACACTCAAGATAAATCATTATCCAGTTCTAGCTATTTAAACATGACATGAGCAACTATAATCTTTAATTTTCATCACATACATGTTACTCATAATAATACTGAGCAACAACAATGAGCTAGACATATTTACAAAAACAAAGACAAAAGGAGTTCATATCAGCTTTTCTTCATCTCAATCACTTCATCAAATCATCATTATTATTGCCTTTCACTTTCACGACCGAATGATATGAAAATAACAATAGTGCAAGTGTCTCCCGAGGTCTCCGACGACGAGGACGACACCACGATGGAGACGGGCTCCGACGACTTCGCCCCGGCTCCCGCGCCTCCTATGCAAGGGCTTCACCATGGAGGAGCCGCACTTAAACGTTGCCATGGCGGAGGTGCATCCTGCTCCGGCGCCTTTGTCGACGTTCCAACAGACGCAGGAGGAACAACGGTACAATATGTTCCTCCTGGAGCAGCACCTGCTGGCTGAGGGCCAGATCTACGGCGAGCACGCGAGCGAGAAGGCCTTGGCGATCAAGGCCATGACGAACCCAAATTTTGTCGCGGAGCAGCGTGCCATCTATGATGCCGTCCGCGCTCAAACCGCCGCTCGCCAGGAAGCGGCAACCACGGAGGCGCAGCTGTAGGCGATCACGCACGAGAACAACGTCAGCTGCGCTGCCGGCGAACCATCAGCCGACCCGGTCGGATGACGACAACGCCGGCACCACTATTTCCCTCATGGACCTCACGTCCACCGACGACGGACAAGGAGCGGACTCCTCCGAGGATGAGTAGGCCACGGCAGGCGGCGATGCCTGCTGTCCCATGTGGGCCGATCCGTCTCCCGTGTTCTACTCTTCATCGCCGGAGACTGCATCTTCACTTCATTGGTCTTATCGCCGGTGCTCATAGAGACGACGGATGGAGGATGACACGGGCTTGGACGCCGGGCGCCGTCACCGTAGGATAGGTTTATGGACGGGTCTTTTTTTGTTTTAGATATTTGAAATGTAATGAAATTCATCGTGTTTGTATGAAATCCGTTGTGTTTATATGAAATCCGTCATGTTTCTATGAATTTTGGTCGTGTTTGCATGAACGTCATCCGGCTTATGAAAAAATACTCCGTCTCTGTCCGCAGACGATTGCGGGGATCTGCGAGAGGTTCGAATACCATTTGATTGCAAAGTCAACGGTTAGTCTTCCCGCATCGCCACCTCTTACACACACCACTGGCAATGCCGCCTCCCCTGCGCCACCTGCTGCCGCTGCTCCTCGCGGCGGCCGCGGCCTCCACGGCCGCCGCGTTCGTGCTGGGGAGGCCACGGTCGAGTCCATCCACCGCGCCTTCGCCACCGGCGAGCTCACCTCCCGCGGCCTCGTCGAGCTCTATGTGCGCCGCATCGCGTCCCTCGACCCGGCCCTCCACGCCGTCGTCGAGATCGATGCCGATGGCGCGCTCGCCGCAGCCGACCGCGCCGATGCCGCCCGCCTCGAGCTCGAGGGCGCGGCGCTCCCGCCTCTCCACGGCATCCCCGTGCTGATCAAGGACAACATCGCGGCGGCCGGCGACGGATCCGGGAGGCTGAACGCGACGGCCGGGTCGCTCGCGCTGGTCGGGTCCCGCCCCGCCCGCGACGCCGGCGTGGTCGAGAGGCTCCGGCGCGCCGGCGCGGTCGTCCTCGGCACCGCCAGCCTCAGCGAGTGGTGCAACTTCCGCGGCCCCCGCATCCCCGCCGGCTGGAGCCCCCGCGCCGGCCAGGGCATTGTGAGCAGCAGATCCTCCCCTTCCCTCTTGCCTCCTTCACGAATTTTCTCTGCTTCTCCTTTGCTTGGAAGCTTGAATCGCAACTTGACATGTTCAATTTTGACTCTGAATGAACGCATTGTGATCTAATTGCGTTGCTGCTGCAGAATCCGTATGTGCCGTCAGCGACGCCGTGCGCGTCCAGCAGCGGCTCCGCCATTGCCGCGGCGGCGAACATGGTGGCGGTGACGATTGGGACGGAGACGGACGGCTCCATCATGTGCCCGTCCAGCTTCAACTCCGTTGTCGGAATCAAGCCGACGGTCGGCCTCACAAGCCGCGCCGGCGTGATCATCATATCTCCAAGGATGGACACAATCGGGTAAAAATTATGCTAAATGTTTACATTGGTCATCGGTTAAGCGGAGGGGTGTGATTTTACTATCTGAATTTGATCCAAACATCATTACATTGTGCATTGCTTAACTGAATTTAATTACCTTTCAGAAATGTGGCATCCACTTATGTCGAGTAATCCAGCAGTAAGATTAGATAGTTGCAATGTGCCGTGTTTGCTCACTTACATTTATCTGATGACGCCGATTTTAATTATTTCTTACTGATGTAGTTTACTTGATGCAGGCCAATATGTAGGACAGTTTCAGATGCAGTGCATGTGTTGGAGGCAATGGTAGGCTATGATCCACGGGATGCGGAGGCAACTCGCACGGCATCTCGGTATATCCCGAAAGGCGGTTATGGGCAATTCTTGAACATAGATGGTCTAAGGGGCAAGAGGGTTGGGATTCTCAGGAAGGACTTCTTCCGGTTCGCCCCAGGCTCCATCCAAGAAAAGGTGTTCAGAGACCACTTTAACACTATGAGGTAGTTCAGCACTCTTCTTGTTTGATGACATACTTGTTATTCTTCGATATCGATCATTTAGATGGCGCTTCGCTTTAAGCTGGATCGACGCTTATGATAAGCCAGACATCTAATGAGTGGTGCACCAGAACGTTGTTTCGGAGGCTCAATACGCTCTGAATCCTATTCTGCATCAGGGGAACATTATACTCTCAAAACTATTAGTATGAGCTTCTAAGATGGCAAGAGTTACAAGCTAAGGCACAGATGCCACTGCAAGCTTTGTAGTTCTGAAAATGCCACAGGTTGTGAGAAAGACATGTGGGTCCACGTCCCAAACGCCATTTTTCAAAATTGCAAAATAGTAGATGACAATATCAACATCGAAGGAGGACTTGAATTAAGGAAGGGATGAATTATGACTTGTTATGTGCTTATTGCTTTCTGTTGATGTTTCTCTTTCTAAAGATACATTCGCTGTTCCTAACTCCTTTATGTTGTTAAAAAACTGAAAGGCAACTGGGGGCCATCTTGGTGGACAATCTTGAGATACCAACCATGAAAGTCATCAATGATGCGGTACAAAGCGGCGAACGTGCTCTTATGCTCGCCGAGTTCAAGCTGTCCCTCAACTCTTACTTGTCTGAACTGGCTACCTCACCTGTTAGATCATTATCAGACATAATTGACTTCAACAACAAGAACCCTGTCGAGGTAATTACTCAATGTGCACCTCATTTACGGGTTTATTCTTCCTTAACTTTGAATATGATACTCTTGAAACATTTTTTACAGGAAAGGATGGCTGAATTTGGCCAGAGTTACCTTCTGCAGTCTGAAGCAACAAATGGCATTGGTCCTGCTGAGGAGCGTGCCATTGCCAAACTGAACAAACTGTGTGAGGAAGGCCTTGAGAAGATAATGCGAGCCAATCAACTGGACGCGATCGTCGCACCCGGCGCGTCTGCTCATAGCCTGCTTGCCATCGGCGGCTATCCAGCAATAACCGTCCCAGCTGGATATGCTTCAAACGGCGTTCCTTTTGCGATTTGCTTTGGGGGGTTGAAAGGATCAGAGCCGATGCTTATTGAGATTGCTTATTCCTTTGAGCAGGCAACGAAAGTTAGGAAACCTCCAATATTGCAGCATTCTGTCATTTGATTGCAGCTATGTTTCACCAGTTTATAAGTTTTTCAAGTTTGAAATTGGAGACAATTTGAGATGTTATACTATTGTTGGCCTTTCCTTCGTTGCCTGGCAGTACAACTTGAGTTCTTTTTTCTGGTCATTTTATTTCTATCCTACAACTATTGCACTTGCAGCCATTTCATTTAAGCTGCTGGCAACATCTCTTATCATGCTGAGAACTCAAACAACATGGAGTGATGTGTTTTCCTAAGATTCAAGGTGCCTGTAAGTTTCCAGTGAGTATGCTGTGCCAAGCTGGCAGGAGACTAGGAGTGGTTTTGTTAGTTGGTGTAGCTTCCATGCCAAGTCTTACAGTGGTAGCCTCGGGAAGTTGGAGAATACATTGATCGGACGGTTATATCGCCAAGGTAACCTGAAGTTCATGCCTTGAATAGCCAGATTTAAGCATGAGACTTCGGCCATAGAAACAAATATGTTGGTGGCATCACCTTCTTCACCATCTTTGCTGTCATATCGATAGGTTTTTATAATGATGGGTAGTCGCCATATTTATAATTTCATATGGGTGCTCTCATAGATTGATCACACTAATGGCCTTGCGTTTCTTCTCACTTTTCAGGTATCTCCTACAACTACACTGCATCATACTACAACACTGCAGATGCTGCACGAGCACTATTCTATACTTATCAAAAACAAATGTGGTACATGCCATGACATCCACATCCTAACAAAAGCTGTATGTATCCACAGCACCCAAGAGTTTCTGGATCGTCTAGAGTGTTTCAGCACTGATCGTGGTCCGACAGCACGCGGTTCCCGGCCGGCTTGCCGAGCTGCAAGCATGAAATAGGAGGGATGGTGGGAGTGTACAGCTCCCCGAAGGCCTGCCAGCAGAAGGGGCTGCTGCATGTGTGGTACTGAGGCACTACCAGGGGTCTCAGTTGTATCCCGGTCAGGGTGATCTCCGAACACGGCGAGCTGTCGCTGCACGCGAAATGGGCGGGCTTGATCGTGAAAGTCCCCCGGATGTTCTCGTACTGCACGCCCGAGACCGCCACCGCCGAGGTCTGGTTCATGCACGATGTTTTGTCGCAGTAGAACTGGTCGATCATGATGGGCGTCTGAACCTCTGACATGTGTATGTTGGAGAACCTTATGCCCTGGACCAGCCCTGAGCCACCCTACATTGGCAACTCAGTGTGGTCAGATATATGTAAATTCAGTGGTCCTTAGAGGTCGGGTTAGTGATTACCTGCCAAGTCTTGATCCTGACACCGGTCATTGTTTTGAACATGTTGACATCTCTTACAGTGATGTTGGAGACACATGCCTTGGTGTTGTACCTCCCTAGGCCACCAATGCTGATCCCATGGCCTGGTCCGCAGTTCACATTATGTATGTTTACGTCGCTGCAGCCTGTCTGGATGGAGATGCAGTCATCACCTGCATTGCACAAGGTAAATATTTCATGTCAACTTCTTGTGGTTCTGTATACAGATTATCCTACTGCTCTCTATATTATATCTGGATAGGACATTACGTGGTACATCCTAACTGCTCGAATCAAGTTTTGTGACATCGCAAAATAAAAGAAAATTGCGAGGAACATTACCGCAGGCCAGGTCAGTGTGGTGAATGTTGACATCCTTGGAGTTTTGCAGGTGTATTCCATCAGTGTTGGGGCTATTCTCAGGGGAAGAGATGGTGAGGTTATGAACCATGACTCCCTGACAGCTATCGAACTTCAGATGGCACTGCGGGCTGTTGATGATGCTGATACCAGTTACTCTGACATCGGAACTGCCGTAAAACCTTAGCGCCTGCATAGCAGAGTACGCAACCACTAGCTGCTTAATTTGTTCTGGTATGCAACTTCAAAGATATTCAAGTTCTGCAATAGAAAATTAATAATGTGCTTACCGTGGGTTTAATCTGTGGCATCTTCTCCAGCTCCTGATCAGTGTACTGTTGGAAGCATCCAAAGTAAGCAATTAGATTTGTCTACTTTTGAGTTGTTTATTAAGTAAGGAAGCTGTTAGATGGTCAGGCCTTACTGAGTCCATATCATCATCATCATCATTTGAATCTGAATAGGTCCACCATTCTTTACCCTGACCATTTATGACACCACTGCCTTGAATTGATATCCCATTTAGTTTTGTGAACTCGAGCCACTGAAGCAAACCGGAGCCCCACGCTCTCGCGCCAGTTTTAGCCGAAATGGTTCCATCCAGCTACAAAACGAAAACACGACATTTAAAACCAGCACTTCTTATTTAATTTGTTGTTGCATAACTAACACACCGATTGGAATGTACTAGCAAGTAATCTGGATTGGGCATATTGTAGAGCTTCAGAGAGTTTCAATTACAACCTCCAAACAGAATAATTCTGATTGAGTTGAATGTCTGTCTATACTTTGGTAAGCGTGCAAAGAGCATCAAACAACAACCATGATAATACTCTGGTGTATAGTTGTTGACTTCCTTCAAGTAATGGAGGACTTATTTCTGGTGTGTATATATGCTTTGGGATAAGGAATAATGTTACCTGGAACAGAATGTTAGGTTTGCAGTTAGGCCCCGAAAATGAGATTGGGCCAACAACGAACTCGAGTTCAGGTGGTACAAGAACCGTCGATGCCTCCACCTTGCACGCTGCTGCCCATGCTGCTTCAAAAGCCTGCAATATATAGATAATACGTAATAATTATGTTCAATCTTTGTTGGGAAAGGATAATGTAGTGTGTCATCATATCATGGCATGCATGGTGAATTGGTGATACCAACTGTGTAGGTCAGCAGCGTGACGTGATGGTGCGCTATGCGGGCGGCCAAGCTTCGTGATGTTGAGATCACTACTGGTATGTCAGTTAATTTATCTAATTCCATTTTGCATTTCTCTAAGGATGAGATTATTAATAATGCAAACCAAGTAGGTGTGTCTCTTGGGGATAATAATGCTGAAATTTCGAACTCGGTTAATGATCTCTTAGATTTGGAAGCGGAACGGGCCTTAGAAACCATTAGAAACCTAGCGGCAGTAAAACCTATGAATGATGCTGAGATTGACGCATTGGGGGTAAGGGTGCTGGACACCTTCTGTGCGGATCTTGTTCCTACGTCGGCGGAGTCTGACGAGGAGGAAGTAGGTGTGGAGGAAATAGTAATTGCACAACCGGAGCACGGTTATGAGGACCGGGTTACGGATAATAACATTCCTAAGCGTAAGTGGAAGCGGAAGGTGTATCCTGAATCCGCGGTACGTAGGAGTGCTAGGATTCGGACTGCCAAAAAATTCCATGATGACCTATGAAAGGAATCTTCTGGAATAGCAGAGGTCTTAAGGACTTGGCTAAACATAGGTTTCTAGCGGAGGCATCTTTAGAGCACAGTTTGGACTTCATTGCGCTCTCTGAAACTGGTAGGGAGAATTTTGCGCCACAGTTTCTTAACACTTTGTCGGGAGGAGTGGAGTTCGATTGGCATTGTCTTCCTCCAAGAGGGAGGTCCGGTGGCATCTTGCTTGGTGTGAGATGTGACTCCCTGGAAGTCCGGAGCGTTGTTATGGGTGACTTCGCGGTCAAATTTCGAGTCAGGTCTAAAGTAGATGGGTTTAACTGGGTTCTGGTGGCGGTCTATGGGGCCGCACAACCTGAGCTTAAACCGGAGTTTTTGGCAGACCTGGTTCGTATTTGCGGATCTGAACAACTTCCCATTTTGGTTGGGGGGGACTTCAACATCATTAGGAGGAGGGACGAGAAGAACAATGATAACTTTGACGGCCGATGGTCTTTTATGTTTAACACCATCATTGAGAGCTTGGATCTGAGAGAGATCGAGCTTTCTGGTCGCCAATTCACCTGGGCTAACTCTTTACCCAATCCGACATACGAGAAGTTGGATCGGGTGCTAGCAAGTCCCGAATGGGAACATAAATTCCCTCTCGTCACGGTTCAGGCTCTCACGCGTGGGATTTCGGACCACACGCCTTTGTTCGTAGACTCCGGTGAACCAAGGCATGTGGGAAACAAAAATACCTTCTCTTTCGAAACGGCGTGGTTTGAACGAGAAGGCTTCCTGGATCTCGTAGCTAGGGAGTGGGCTACGGATACTGGGGGAAAATCGTCCGTCGAGAGATGGCAGAATAAGATCAGGCATTTGAGGAGCTTTCTCCGGGGATGGGCTAAACACCTAAGTGGAGTTTATAAGATTGAAAAGGATAGACTCCTAGATCTTATACGATACCTAGATGTTAAAGCTGAATCTACAATTCTGCAGTCTGCTGATTTGTCTTGTAAGCTTGATGCGGAGAAGAGGTTGAAGGAACTTCTTCGTGAAAAGAAGAGCTGAAGTGGGCGCTCAGAGCAAAGGTTCGCAAGGTAATCCAAGGGGATGCGAACACTCAATTCTTTCATCTTATTGCAAATGGCAAACACAGAAAGAAAATTCTTTTTCAGCTCGAGCAAGATGAAGGCACAATTGTGGGTCACGATAATCTAAAGATCTACATCACCGAATATTATAAGCAGTTATTTGGACCGCCGGAGGATAGCGCGGTGTCCCTAGATGAGTCCAGGATTGAGGATGTGCCTCAACTAACTGCTTCTGATAATGCTAGCTTGATTGCACCGTTTACGGAAAAGGAAGTTTTCGATGCCATTTCCCAGATGGAGAACAATAAGGCTCCTGGGCCGGATGGGTTTCCGGCGGAGTTTTATAAAAAATGCTGGCATATTATCAAGGGGGATCTTTTACCCATGTTTCATGACCTGTTTGCTGGACGGCTTCATCTATTTCACCTGAACTTTGGAACCATAACGTTGCTACCAAAAAAGACAGATGCTCTGAGGATTGAGCAGTTCCGGCCTATCTGTCTTCTCAATGTTAGTTTCAAAATTTTTACCAAGGTTGGGACGAATAGGCTCACACAGATTGCGCATTCTGTGGTGCAGCAATCCCAGACAGCTTTCATGCCGGATAGAAACATCCTAGAAGGGGTGGTGGTCTTGCATGAAACGATCCATGAAATTCACTCTAAGAAACTAGATGGAGTCATTTTTAAAGTGGACTTTGAGAAAGCGTACGACAAAGTTAAGTGGCCTTTCCTGCAACAAGCTCTGCGTATGAAAGGGTTCGACGAGGGCTGGAGGAGCCAGATTGAATCGTTTACGCAGAAGGGTAGTGTTGGTATTAAAGTGAATGACGACATTGGTCATTACTTCCAGACACACAAGGGCTTGCGGCAAGGTGATCCGATGTCCCCTATTCTGTTCAACATAGTGGTGGACATGTTGGCAGTTCTGATAGGGAGAGCCAAGGAGGCAGGCCAAGTTGGAGGCTTGGTGCCTCATTTAGTGAATGGAGGTATTTCCATCCTGCAGTACGCTGATGACACTATCATCTTCATGGAGCATGACTTGGTAAAAGCAAGAAATATGAAGCTGTTGCTTTGTTTGTTTGAGCAATTGAGTGGGCTCAAAATTAACTTCCATAAAAGTGAGTTGTTCTGCTTTGGTAGAGCCAAAGAGGAACAAGAAGCCTATAAACAATTGTTTGGGTGTGGTTTGGGGGAGTTACCATTCACATACCTAGGGATTCCAATACATCACCGTAGGCTTACGAACAATGAATGGAAGTGTATTGAAGATCGATTTGAGAAAAAGCTAAGCTGTTGGAAGGGTAAGCTAATGTCATATGGAGGCCGGTTAATTCTTATTAATTCGGTGTTGACGAGTATGCCCATGTTCCTTTTGTCTTTTTTTGAAGTACCGGTTGGGGTAAGGAAAAGACTGGACTTCTATCGATCGCGGTTCTTTTGGCAGGGAGATGAGCTAAAAAGAAAATACCGGTTAGCGAAGTGGGATATCATTTGTAGGCCGAAAGACCAAGGGGGTATGGGGATTGAAAATCTCGAGGTCAAGAACCGATGCCTTCTTAGTAAGTGGTTATGGAAGTTAGCTTCAGGAACTGAAGCCACTTGGGCTCAAATCCTTCGTAATAAGTATCTTCAAACCAAAACTTTGTCTCAGGTCACGGTTAGACCGACTGATTCACCCTTTTGGAAAGGGCTAATGAAAGTTAAGCTTTCATTCTTTCAGAGGGCAAAGCATGTTGTTGGAAATGGTGCCAGCACAAGATTCTGGGAGGATTGTTGGCTCGGTGATACGCCCCTTGCAATCCAGTATCCGGCGTTGTATCGTGTTGTACAAAGGCGTGATACTCTGGTTGCAACAGTCTTTCGTTCCATTCCACTTAATATTCAATTTAGAAGATCGTTAGTGGGCAATCGTTGGGAACAGTGGCTGCATCTAGTTAGGAGACTGATGCAGGTCCAGCTTTCACAACAACCTGATAAACTGCGCTGGAATCTCACTAGGTCGGGGGAATTCACAGTTAAATCCATGTATGTTGCTGTTATCAACTCCAGCTCGATTCCTACTTCCAAGCATGTGTGGGATGTCAAAGTTCCTTTGAAGATTAAGGTGTTTATGTGGTTTCTTCATAAACAAGTCATCTTAACAAAGGATAATTTAAAAAAGCGCAATTGGACAGGTCCTACTAGGTGTAGTTTCTGTGATCAGGGTGAAACCATTAAGCATTTATTCCTTGAGTGCCCACTAGCTAGAATTCTTTGGACAACTGTTCATGTTGCTTTCAATATTACTCCACCAAATTCGGTGAATATGATGTTTGGAGCTTGACTTAATAGGGTAGAGCCCGGGTTAGCTAAACATATTCGCGTGGGGGTGTGCGCCTTAGTGTGGGCACTGTGGAATTGCAGAAATGATCTTGTTTTTAACAGAACAACAAAAACTCATGTTTTGCAGGTTATCTTCAGAGCCACGGCACTTATCCGTTCCTGGTCGCTACTCACTCCGACGGAGGCCAGGGAGCGTTTGGTTACTGGTGCTATCCGATGGGAGACGGTAGCTCGGGATATCTTCAGCCGGTTTGGATGGCGGTCATGTAATAGGATAGGCAATTAGTTTACCTGTCTTTTGTTGAGCCAATCGGCTGTGGTTTATCCTTTGTTGGGCTAGCTTATGTATCTAGCCTTTGGGTTCTGTGTGAGCCTTTTCGTTTCCTTTTTAGTTTGCTACTACTCAGACTTCGAGACTTTGTGGATGTTTTATTATTAATAAGATGGCCGTATGCATCATGCTGATGCAGAGGCCGGGGATCCCCCTTTTCGAAAAAAAAAACTGTGTAGGTCAGATTTCAAGTGCACTCCATAGCATTGTTTACTGAACACTTCTTTGCTATTGTGATCGGTACATGGGTACAAGACATAACTTCTTGCCTTAAAAGGAAATATAAGGAAAAAAATGCATATTTATTTTCAAAATTCCAAGTTTGTGTTGATTGGAAAATTAGGGTAATTCCTTGGTGAGAACCCATAGTATAATTTAGTTTGGTCTTTAAGTTTTCTGATCGAGACGATTCTCTTTAAAAACAAGAAAAACATCAAGAACCGATAAAAAGAACCAATAACTCTACTAAATTTGAGGATTGTCATATTCTTAGGGAACCGCAAAACTTCAGTTCCTTTCTGGCACTTATATTTTTTTCCTGCACATATTTTTTCCGGGCACATATAAAATGTCTTGCAAGAATGATTTGAAAAAAAAGAAAAATGTCTTGCAAGAATGCAATTGCTATAGAAAGCTTTTATTCTTGTGAGTCATTCATCGACATGATACCTTCTTTTACTCATAGACCCCAACTAAATACAGTACTAGAATCCAGCATGATGAGTAAAGACATATGCCCAATCATGTGAGAAAAAAACAATCTAAACATAAAGACAAATCACGGTTGTTGCATTATACACACTTGTCCTGACATGTAATATTCCAGCTCCAGATGGCATATGACGTGCAGCTTACTAAGAAACAATAACGTGATTGTGCAATCACGGGGAGTACAAGTATTATTTTTAGAAGACTAATTTTTGCAAGATTGTCCCTGCAGCATACTAACTTGAAAATTGTATTTTTCAGGTGCAAATGTTGTTTATTTGGAAGCAGAGTATTTTCAGAGGTAGTGCTGGTGGTTACCTGAGTATCATCCGTAACTCCGTCACCCCGCGCTCCGAAAGCAACCACGTTGAACACCGTGCCCTGCGACGGCTCGTCCGATGGCGGTGCTTGTGGCGGCAACGACGGGGGCAGAGGTGGTGGCGGCGACCGTGGCACAGAGGGTGCTTGTGGTGGCAGCGATGGCGGTGGTGGAGACGGCGACGCATAGCCATGACCACCGCCTGGACTTGGCGGCGCCGGCATTGCAGGACTCTGACGCCCTTTGCCGTACTGCCTGTGGCTGTGGGAAGGGGAACCGCCGCCGTTCTTCCCTTTTCCTTTCCTTCTGAACATGGAGCTGGAGGAGGGTCCTCTGTTCTGCCTCCAGTGCTTGCCGCTCCTCGCGTCGCAGAAGCCGACGCCGGAGCTCAGAGCAAGCGAGACGAGGAGTAGCAGGACGGCGAGACCTTTGCTCATCTCTGCGTCTGCAGCTTCGTATCGATCAGTATCTTGTTCTTAGATGATGGCAGTGTCCAGACTGTGTATGTGGCTTGCAGTCTGAGGAGGGAAAGTGGAGGGGTTTAAATAGCCAGCGCCATGGATGCTTCTTGGAGGCCGGAGCAGAGAGAATGGAGATAATGGAAGGGGTTCTGGTGGGTGCCACCCTGAGTCACGTGCATGCGTGAGCGGCATATGAATGGATGGATGAACTGCAGCCTCGCAACTGCACAGAGTTTTTCTTTTATCATGTGTTGCTTTTGTTCTTTTCGTGAGAATCGGTTGTGGGAATTGCCCTCCATTATCCATGAAGAAATGTGCCAGATCGATAATGTAGCCTACCTGTACTAATGGCTCACGGGGCATGAAGGTGGCATCCAATCCTTTGTACCCCACCCTGCTAATTATATTTTCAAATGGGCTTTGTTTTTTCAGCAATGGCGTCCAGGCGAAGGCGACGATTCTGACAAAGATCAAACATCTCCGCGCAGTCCACAGACGCGGCTAAGTTGGCGTTTCATTTTGCTGTATCTCTTGCAACTTTAGCGCTCGTTTTTGAGTCGCGATTTGTATCCCTGTTTGATCTTCAGACTTTGGTATGTATGACTATGACAATGTTTCGGCCTTGTTGCCTTTATTAATTTAAAGCCGGACGCTGCTTGTGCCTGTTCCTAAAAATAATAATCATTTGTACCTATTCGACCCGTTTGCCACTAGTTTAGTGCAGAGACAGAATGAGTATGCATGCATGGTGATTGAATCTAATCCGTCTCCTTGCTCCATAGCATTCTGCTGTCATCGTGTGTTTTAGGGTATTCTTTGGAGCACTTGCAACAATTGTAACCACAAGTTCGGTATGGCGCTTAACTATGTGTGGATCCACATTGTTTTCATGCATGATTCCTGTGCTGTGTGGGAAATGACCCGTGAATCTCTTCACTGCCGCTCTTCTTCAGGTAACCTACCTACCTGAGCAATGATCATGGCATATCCCTCACGGCATTCAATTCCTTGGTTTGGTTCTACAAATGCTACGCAGGAATCATAAATGCAAAAAGGAAGTTCATTAGGATCTCCATGTCATTTTTGCAGTTCCACTGGTTCCCTAGGAAAATGACAGTCTTTGGACAAAATTTCCAAACGTAATCTGAATTTGTCAGTTTATATATGAAATATGCGGGCATATATAATAATATAGAAACCGTCTTATCTCAAGGATGAGCATGCTTTACTCCCAACCACGAGGTCGGGTGTTTGATCTGCCACCCTCTCTCCCGCTCAATCATTTTAGAGATAGCAATTCCAAGCATAACTTGAATTTAAATTTCACTTATTGTACATGAAGTAGATTTTTGCGACAAAATTTTCAAATGATATTTCAATTCATTTTTCTCATGTTGTATTAAGTATGTACACCTTAGATAATGACAAAAAGCTATTTTTGTCTCAATTTTGGGCGTGCTTTACCCCCATCCACGAGGCCAATGGTTTGATCCCTGATGCTTTGCAAGTGCACAATGTTGAGTTGTAGCCTTTTCGAAGTAAGAGTACCGATCCCACAGAGAGCTTAGGAAATGGTATTTGCCTCTTGTAGAAGTTTAAAGCAATTGACCTGCAAGTTAAATGCGGTCCAAAGCAAAAACGGTGCAGAGGAGGAAATATTGCAAGAGTGTTTTGACAAGAATTAAAGTGCGCAAGATTGAAAGTAAAGAACAAGAGAATAATGAAAACCGATGGAAACTGCAATAGGTTAAAGCGTTACGGGGGGTCTGGATTCACCACTATTATGTATGTTACTTAATTATGTGAATGCATAATTCTAGGTTCAAATAACTAATCAACTTAATCAACGGTGGCGTGCTTTACTCCCAACTATGATCTCAATGGTTTGATCCCGTATCCTCCCTCCCTCTTAATCATTTTTTGCGGCAAATTTTTGAAATTTAATTTGAATTTACCTTGTTGTGCAGGGTTCTGTGAAAAAATTAAATTGATATTTCTTTGTTGTATATTAAGGAGTTTTTTAGCAGAAGCAGACTTTGTTGTATACTAGAAGAATGCCCCGCGCGTTGCTGCGGGAATTTGTATGAAATGAAAACTGGGTTGAACTAATCAACCTAGCTAGTGTCTTTAGAATTTCTCTTGTACCAAGACAATTTGTTATCAACATTTTTAAATAAATAAATGTCATCTCTATGTATATGTGCAGAATTGACCGAAAACAAAACAAATATGCATGCATGCATCACTTTCTTTCATAGTGCCAGCACTGGAGTATGACTTGCATGCATGCATCTGTTTTTTCTTGATTAAAACACTCCTTAGGCATCATTTACTACATGCACTGCATGCATGCGTTGGTGGCTCTTAATGGAAAGATCCAATGGCTATTGTAGTCTGATTGGGCATATCCAATGGTTAAATTAATTTAGGTGATGTGGCTCAAGGAGAAGCAAGAAAATTCCTAGTAGTGGGGGCTAGCTATTTAGATATAGTAGATTAAGTATGTGATTCTTAGATTGCATGTCTTTTGGTTTTCAATTTTCGGTTTTTTTTGTGAAAAAATTCATCGAAATCTATTAATATGTGATCTGATGCGAAGATTTGATGAGAGAAATCCAACAGTCATAACAGTTCCGTTTTTGGACGCAAGGTTTGGAAAATAAAATGATACGAATAAACAAATCTACGAAAAAAGATGAAAACTTTCAGGTTAAGTCAAGTGAAGCACATGCAATGCGCACGCTTGCTAGCACCTGAGAACGTGGGGAGTGACCTTTGCAAGGGGTAATCCTTAATTACTCCCTCCGTTCCTTTTTAGTGTGCGCCTAAGTGCAAGCCCGGATACCAAGAAGAGACTCTGTTCAAACATTTTTGACTAATTTGCCCCTGTGGTTGCATGCACCATACGGGGAAAGATGGATTGCTATAGCTGCGCGCATGCGAGCGTTAGTTGATTGGTCCTTCTTCCTTTTCCTCGTTCCCTCCACCGCATGAGTACAGCAGCTCATCTCTGCATGCAAGGCATGGCACGTGGGACAACGTGAGTAGTTACTGCTAGTTGCATGCAAAGCAGTAAATCAGGGGTAGGATAGGAAACAATCGCTCAGAAAGTGCATCGGGCAGACCATTTGAGAGAAAACACAAAAAAAGTTATACACACACTAAAGAGGATCAGAGGGAGTACTGATTTCTGGGGTGCTGATGTTTTCTTTAGACAACCCCGCGAAGCTTTATTCAAGTTGTCATAATGTTTACAGGGATAAAACGAAGATCGCCGGGTGCCCTAACCTAACATGGCGGCCCATCCCTAACTTCAGACCTCACTTCGCTAGATTGTGAGCCTCGAAATTCGAGCTCCTAGGCTCATGGACAAAATTGCAAGAACTAAAAGAAATACTATGATCTATTATGATAGCTCCATAGCTAGCCATGTTCCGATGCTTGATGTCATCCACCACCACCTTGCAATCGGAGGCCACGTGAATTCTTTGCAGGTTTAGATCATCAGCGAGGGCTAGTGCCTCCCGAACTGCCAAGGCTTCCAGAGATGAAGGATCAGTAGTAACCCCTCTGATCACCATTGACGAGGCACCCTGGAATTTACCTTCGTGATCGTGGCATATGGCAGCAACGGCCCCCGGTTCCTGGCCACCGAGGCATCAACGTTAATCTTGAAAAACAGCTCTGGTGGCTGTATCCAGTGAGCTGGGCGCGCTACTGATTCCCTCACTGTATTCTGCCTCGCATAGCAATGGCTTCCAGATCAGCGATGTAAGATTGTATGAACATATTTGTTGACGTCGGACTTTGGAACAAATCCTCGTAGATAGCTTTCTCCTTGATCTCCACACTGCCCAGAGGGTTACCACCAAGAGCACAAATTCCCAGCCTGTCTGAATGGGAGCCGCCGCTCTTCCCTCTCCCTTTCCTCAGAACGTGGTGGTGAAGGGTCCTCTGTTCTGCCTCCAGTGCTTGCCGCTCCTCGCATCGCAGAAGCCAACGCCGGAACTCAGAGCAAGCGAGACGAGGAGTAGCAGGACAGCGAGAGCTTTACTCGTCTCTGTGTCTGCAGCTTCGTAGCGATCTTCTGCTCGTACTTGGTAGACGATGACAGTGTCCCACTGTCCCTGTGTGCTTGGAACTGTGTACTTGGTAGCGATCTTCTCCTCAAGTTTATTGTTTGAGGAGGATAGGCAGGGGACAGAGAAGAGGATATGTGGCTTGGAGTTTGAGGAGGGGAATAGGAGGGTTTAAATGGCCAACGCCATGGATGCTTCTTAGAGGCGGGAGCAGAGAGAATGGAGATAATGGAAGGGGTTTCGGTGGGTGTCGTGCATGCGTGTGCGGCATATGAATGATAGTGGTAGGTGCTACCCTGAGTCACGTGCATGCGTGTGCGGCATATGAATGGATGGACTGTAACCTCGCAACTGCATAGGTTTTTTATCATTTTTTGATTAAAGAAGGGCTTGCCCCTTCCGATTTTCATTACTGAAAACCATCAAAGTTCACAACCAGATTCAGCCTAAAAAAGAGTACTAAAATGCTACCAGCATGACATCGCAACATCCCAGAAGGCCAACACAGGCCATCCAAACCGCGCAATTACCCAACACAAGTTCACCAGCGACGACAGAATCCAACCTACAACGAACATTATTACATCAAAAGCAGCCATGGAGCTGAAGGAGCCCAGCAACTAGAAGAACAACACACTTTAGGGCCACCACCACAAGAGTTTCTTCATTCCAGCCTAGCTACATTGATCTTCCACCCTTGCTTGGCTGTGAACACCTCACTTGCTGCCCGTTCTAGCATCCTTGCTCCCAGCTCCAGCATTTTTTTTGATGGTTCCTTTATCTGCAGAATGGACCGGTCAGTTAACCACCTGCACATCATTTTGACAATATAGAAAGGATCATTATCCTTTTCTTTTCAAAAATAATCGCATTCCTGCTTTTCCAAATTGCCCAAAA